TTCAGCAGCATCGGTCATTGACCACCTTACACTGGGCATAATTTCAGCAGCATCGGTCATTGACCACCTTACACTGGGCATCATTTCAGCAGCATCGGTCATTGACCACCTTGCACTGGGCATCATTTCAGCAGCATCGGTCATTGACCACCTTACACTGGGCATCATTTCAGCAGCATCGGTCATTGACCACCTTACACTGGGCATCATTTCAGCAGCATCGGTCATTGACCACCTTACACTGGGCATATTTCAGCAGCATCGGTCATTGACCACCTTACACTGGGCATAATTTCAGCAGCATCGGTCATTGACCACCTTACACTGGGCATAATTTCAGCAGCATCGGTCATTGACCACCTTACACTGGGCATATTATCAGCAGCATAGGTCATTGACCACCTTACACTGGGCATAATTTCAGCAGCATCGGTCATTGACCACCAATTTCTTTAGGTATATTACAGGTCCGAGACGGATAACAGAGAGATCACAATGCAGAAGAAATTCAAAGAAATGAAGGAGACTTTGGTGGATAGGATGGTCCGTGCTATGGTGAACGAGATGGTTATAGAATACATGAATGTGTATGGGATCGGCAGGGAGGAGATGGACCCTTGGGAAATGGAGAAAAACTCCGGTAGCTAACAGTTGTAGCACTACCCCTGAAGGAGCTGCTGTAGATTGGACAGGTTCTTTCCCAAACAACAGAGCAGAGGCCACGGCCAGGCACACAGCAGCAACAACAGTCCATTTACTCGTTGAACAGTCTAGGGGATGTCCTTTAAGGTTTATTTGGTTGTAGAAATTGGGAGGGGATTGGGGTGATGCAAGATACTCCAAACCGCAAACTCCAAAACCGCAAGATACTCCAAACCGCAAGATACTCCAAACCGCAAGATACTCCAAACCGCAAACTCAAAACCACAAGATACTCCAAACGCAAGATACTCCAAACCGCAAGATACTCCAAACCACAAGATACTCCAAACCGCAAGATACTCCAAACCGCAAGATACTCCAAACCGCAAGATACTCCAAACCACAAGATACTCCAAACCGCAAGATACTCCAAACCGCAAGATACTCCAAACCACAAGATACTACAAACCACAAGATACTCCAAACCGCAAGATACTCCAAACCGCAAGATACTCCAAACCACAAGATACTCCAAACCGCAAGATACTCCAAACCCAAACCACAAACGCAAGATACTCCAAACCACAAGATACTCCAAACCGCAAGATACTCCAAACCGCAAGATACTCCAAACCACAAGATACTACAAACCGCAAGATACTCCAAACCGCAAGATACTCCAAACGCAAGATACTCCAAACCACAAGATACTACAAACCACAAGATACTCCAAACCGCAAGATACTCCAAACCGCAAGATACTCCAAACTGCAAGATACTCCAAACTGCAAGATACAAACCGCAAGATACTCCAAACACAAGATACTCCAAACCGCAAGATACTCCAAACCGCAAGATACTCCAAACCGCAGAATAGGGGACCATAAAGTAGTATGAACACAAGTAAAATCAGACTGGAACAGTCCACGATTCACGACTCGAGACCATGAGGGTTTATGAGCACAATTAAAAGCAGACTGGAGACTGGAACAGTCCATAGTTTACCACTGGGAACCATGAAGTAGTATGAGCACAAGTAAAAGCAGACTGGAACAGTCCACAGTTCACGGCTGGGGACCATGAAGTAGTATGAACACAGTTTTAGACTGAAACAATCCACGGTTCACAGCTGGGGGCCATGAAGTAGTATGAACACAAGCAAAGTCAGACTGGAACAATCCACAGTTCATGGCTGGGGACCATGAAGTAGTATGGGCACAAGTAAAAGCAGACTGGAACAGTCCACAGTTCATGGCTGGGGACCATGAAGTAGTATGGGCACAAGTAAAAGCAGACTGGAATAGTCCACAGTTCATGGCTGGGGACCATGAAATAGTATGGGCACAAAAAAGCAGACTGGAACAGTCCACGGTTCACGGCTTGAGACCATGAAGTAGAATGAGCACAAGTAAAGGAAGACTGGAAGAGTACACGGTTCATGGCTGGGGACCATGAAGTAGTATGATCACGAGTAAAGGCAGACTGGAACAATCCACAGTTCACGGCTGGGGACCATGAAGTAGTATGAGCACAGAGTCAGACTGAAACAGTCCACGGTTCACGGCTGGTGACCATAAAGCAGCAGGAGCACAAATAAAAGTTTTACTCACTGGATCCTGGTACATAGACAGTCCATAGGTGCAGCCTATTGAAAAGTGGTCCAGTATTCAGTCCATAGGGCTTCAAGGACTGTAAGCCCCCTTTCCTCTCAGCTTACAGATCTATCCCCAAAGGAGAAAAAGGACAATTTCCTCAGGGCTCCAGACTATTTAACAGCAATCTAGCTCCCATCTGGGCACACCTCCCCAGGGATTGGCTAGGCCCTGCTGAATATTCAGGCTGGAGATTTGAATCCTCCCACCCTATGCTCTAGAAACCTTCTAGAGGCAAGGGGAAGTAATCAAGCTTTCAGCCTGTGAAGCTCCGAGCAGACCAGGGCAAACCAGACCAGACCAGACCAAACCAGACCAAACCAGACCAAAACCACAGCTCCTGTGACTACAGTAAAAGCCCAAAAACTAAATTTTCCTAGCAGCCTAACTAGGAGGGTGCTACACAGACATAGATAAATATCTAGAAATAGAAACCAAGAAGAATGATGGCAGGAAATGGCCCAGTGCTCCATCAAGTCCGTCCCTTGTAAGTTCTTTTGCTTTTATTTTTGTTAAACTGTGTGATAAGGTGATCCCAAGCATGCTGAAATTCACTTAAAATGACTAATTCCCCACAATACCTCTTTCCCACTGGTCCATATTTAATCTCCTGTGCATTGGCATCTCCTCCGTTGTCAGTCCATCAGTTGTACCAATTTTTTCTTCCTGTTGGGCTGCTCAGTAGAAGGTTTTTCAGCTCCGTAATTTCTTGCAGTACCTTTTCTAGTTTCACACAGGTCTTCTCCAGGTCAGTCTTAGTAGCTGCCATCTCTCTTCTCAATGGTTCCAGGAATTCTTCTTCAGCACTGAGAGTCTCAGTCACATTGCTCTCCAGTGTGTGGTAGGTGGCCTCTGGTTGCTGGGGTTTGCTAGACACTGAGATATCTAGAAGATGTAACACAGACAGGTAATTAGGGAAATACACTATAATGCCAAAAAGCTTGTCAACACTCGACCAACGCAGCTATTATGAGCTCAAAATCATGTGGAGATAGCTCCACAACCTCACGTTCAGGTGTTTCCAGCGAAGGGTACTTTTAATAAATTCTTCTGGCCTTATGGTAACAATAGACATTGATGATTTCCTCCTGGCACACTGAACCCCCGACTGTTCTTCTACAACTGATACGTCGCTGATATCACATCTCCTACGTGAATTTTTAGCCTTTTGCTTCTCACTACAGTGACTGGCCCACAGTTTGTTAAATTATATTTTGGTTGGTTGAATACACACAGTATGGCCTATGGCACAGGTGTCAAACTGGCAGCCCTCCAGCTGTTGCCAAACTACAAGTCCCATGAGGCATTGCAAGACTGACAGTTACAAGCATGACTCCCAAAGGCAGAGGCATGATGGGACTTGTAGTTTCACAACAGCTGAAGGGTCACCATTTTGACACCCCTGGCCTATGGCATGGACACCCCTTAATGTGATGGAGTTCAGGTGCCTCCGTTGAAGGGAACTGGTCATGCTCCATTATACAAAGACATTGCAGACAATTGTGTTCTTCCAATCTTGTGGTAACACTTTGGGGAAGATGGTCATCGGTGCCCCTGTTTACTATGCCAGCTCAATAAAGACATGGTTTGACCAGCTTGGTGTGGAAGAACTCAAATTTACAGCACAGAGACCCTACTGAACACCTTTGGGATGATCTGGAACACCAGTGGTGAACTAGGTATTTTCATCCAAAGACACAAATGGACACAAGTATCCACAGACACCTTCGAAAATCTCCTGTGGAAAGTCTTCCCAGAAGAGTGGAGGATGTCATAGACACAAAGGGTGCGTGACTCCATATTAGTGACTATGGTATGGAGTGGGATGTCCAGCAAGCTCCAACATAGGTGTGATGGGTATTCACATACATTTGGCCATGTACAGTACTGTACTAATATAGAGCAATATGTAGTCCACAAACACTCTAAATACATGACTTTGTTAGCAGAGAAAGTCATTAGTGCTTCCAGAATGGACACTTATACAAGAGAATCAAGGATAGGGCACTTTTCAAATTTTTAATCAACCTGATACCATCTCTGACCTGCAGAGAATCACACAGACTTACTCAAACAAGTAATTACAGGTAACCTATGTACTTTAATAATTATATACTACTAATAGAAGCAGCTTCTTCATCTCCAATGAGTGTCAGGACCATACTCCAACATGTACACCCACACGGTCAATCAGCCTCCATCATCCAATCACCATAAAATGTGTCAAGGTAGATGTTGAGTGTCCAAGGAACATGACAGGAGGGGTGGGGTTTTTCCAAAACACCATGATCAAATTTATATAATCCAACAGGGTGCTTGTGTAGACTTTCACACCTTCAATCAAATTCTTGGATATCTGCTGAGCACATTGCAGGATACTATGGGGGTTCAATGAAAGCTGGGCTCCAGTCAACAGGACTTACCCTCTGTCACTGATAGCAAGGTTTCAACACTTGCTCAGTCCTGGGGAGCCTTAAAGTAATTTGGCCTTTTTAAATCTTTTTAACACAGAGAAACTCTAGAAAGAACATTTCAGCCTTCAGGAACCCTATTCTAATTACTGTATCGACAGATCATGGTACATTAGTATGCAGTCAGTGGGAAGCATGTCCCTTACATTGGGGGTTATTGTGGGAAGAAGCCCCTTACATTGGGGGTCAGTGGAAGGGAGGTCAGTGGGAAGAATGTCCTTACATTGGGGGTCAGTGGGAAGAATTGCCCTTACATTGGGGTCAGTGGGAAGAATGTCCCTTACATTGGGGGTCAGTGGGAAGAATGTCCCTTACATTGGGGGTCAGTGGGAAGAATGTCCCTTACATTGGGGTCAGTGGGAAGAATGTCCCTTACATTGGTGATCAGTGGGAAGATGTCCCTTACATGGTGGTCTGTGGGAAGAATGTCCCTTACATTGGGGTCAGTGGGAAGAATGTCCCTTACATTGGTGGTCAGTGGGAAGAATGTCCCTTTACATTGGTGGTCAGTGGGAAGAATGTCCCTTTCATTAGGGGTCAGTGGGAAGAATGTCCCCTTACATTGGTGGTCAGTGGGAAGAATGTCCCTTACATTGGGGGTCAGTGGAAGAATGTCCCTTACATTGGTGGTCAGTGGGAAGAATGTCCCTTACATTGGGGGTCAGTGGGAAGAATGTCCCTTACATTGGGGGTCAGTGGGAAGAATGTCCCTTACATTGGAGCATGTGGGGGTCAGTGGGAAGAATGTCCCTTACCAGTGGGAAGAATGTCCCTTACATTCAGTGGGAAGGTCCCTTACATTGGGATCAGTGGAAGAATGTCCCAGTGAGGTCAGTGGGAAGAATGTCCCTTACATTGGGGGGTCAGTGGGAAGAATGTCCCTTACATTGGGGGTCAGTGGGAAGAATGTCCTTTACATTGGGGATCAGTGGGAAGAATGTCCCTTACATTGGTGATCAGTGGGAAGAATGTCCCTTACATTGGGGGTCAGTGGGAAGAATGTCCCTTACATTGGGGGTCAGTGGGAAGAAATACCCTTACATTGGTGATCAGTGGAAGAATGTCCCTTACATTGGGGGTCAGTGGGAAGAATGTCCCTTACATTGGTGGTCAGTGGGAAGAATGTCCCTTACATTGGGGGGTGGGAAGAATGTCCTTTCATTGGGGATCAGTGGGAAGAATTCCCCTTACATTGGAGGTCAGTGGGAAGAATGCCCCTTACATTGGTGGTCAGTGGGAAGAATGTCCCTTACATTGGGGTCAGTGGGAAGAATGTCCCTTACATTGGGGGTCAGTGGGAAGAAATTCCCCTTACATTGGTGGTCAGTGGGAAGAATGTCCCTTACATTGGTGGTCAGTGGGAAGAATGTCCCTTACATTGGTGGTCAGTGGGAAGAAGTCCCTTACATTGGTGGTCAGTGGGAAGAATGTCCCTTACATTGGGGTCAGTGGGAAGAATGTTCCTTACATTGGTGGTCAGTGGGAAGAATGTCCCTTACATTGGGGTCAGTGGGAAGAATGTCCCTTACATTGGTGGTCAGTGGGAAAAATGTCCCTTACATTGGGGCTCAGTGGGAAGAATGTCCCTTACATTGGGGGTCAGTGGGAAGAATGTCCCTTACATTGGTGGTCAGTGGGAAGAATGTCCCTTACATTGGGGTCAGTGGGAAGAATGTCCTTTACATTGGGGGGTCAGTGGGAAGAATGTCCCTTACATTGGGGGTCAGTGGGAAGAATGTCCCTTACATTGGTGGTCAGTGGAAAGAATGCCCCTTACATTGGGGGTCAGTGGGAAGAATGTCCCTTACATTGGTGATCAGTGGGAAGAATGTCCCTTACATTGGGGGTCAGTGGGAAGAATGTCCCTTACATTGGGGGTCAGTGGGAAGAATGTCTCTTACATTGTGGTCAGTGGGAAGAATGTCCCTTACATTGGGGGTCAGTGGGAAGAATGTCCCTTACATTGGGGGTCAGTGGGAAGAATGTCCCTTACATTGGTGGTCAGTGGGAAGAATGTCCCTTACATTGGGGGTCAGTGGGAAGAATGTCCCTTACATTGGGGGTCAGTGGGAAGAATGTCCCTTACATTGGGGGTCAGTGGGAAGAATGTCCCTTACATTGGGGATCAGTGGGAAGAATGTCCCTTACATTGGGGGTCAGTGGGAAGAATGTCCCTTACATTGGGGTCAGTGGGAAGAATGTCCCTTATATTTGGGGTCAGTGGGAAGAATGTCCCTTACATTGGGGGTCAGTGGGAAGAATTCCCCTTACATTGGTGGTCAGTGGGAAGAATTCCCCTTACATTGGTGGTCAGAATACCTCCTCACAGATAGGTAAATAGATGAAAGGTGTCAGGAGTTACTTATTCAAGAGGAAGACATTGTTTATTGCTCAAGGGACCTCTAGCAACCTCTTGAAAAACCCTTTTTGGGAAAGTGTGAAGTTGAGAAATACTTACCTTATTCCCCAATCCCCCAACAGCCAACACACTCCACTTCTTGGGGCCTCGTCATCCTGCATCGCACATGATGATGTTAGTGAAGCTACAACCAGACATGTGGCAAAGAGTAGCAGATTCATAGGACTTTGGTGAACAAGCGATAAGGTGCTGCTCAGATTTAAACCTCCCCAAGATTACAGTAAGTGATTGAATAATCCTTGTTATCTGCGTGAAGGTGGGAGGGGAGAACATGCTACCATTTTTTTTTATTACTGACTGAAATTCAGCTTTAAAGCTGAAAAAAATAAAAAAAATTCAAAAACAGCAAACCAGGAAAAGTAGAATAGTATTACTTAACAGTCCCTCCAGCAGTGAATCTGATCTTTATTGTCTTGCAGAGCTACATCTTGAAGAAAATTCAGCATCCTACGCATTTTCCGGACGCCGGATGACAGGTCCTTCATTACATGGTGTGGTTCCACCTGCCAAGCAATATGCCTCTAATGTATTCTTGCAGGGCTGTGGCATAGCTGCCAGCAGGCAGGACCACTGCGCATAGTGGGGGTTGAAGGTATCTAATTTTGGCCGTTTGTTGGATGCTGAAGATCCTTTGGCAAAACCCTGAATTAGTGAGGATTGAGTCACCAGTAGAACTGTAAGGTGTGGCAATTCATACTTGAATATGTTCCTGGTATGGTGGGTACAAATACTCGGTAATTTCCTTACATACATTTGAACTAGGAAAACCACTTGGATGAGCAGTGAAACATCTTCAACAATAAAGGAGAAGTCCAGCAGAATGTGATTAATAAAACTAGATACATTATACCATAACCAGGATAAATGGGAACCATCACTGACTTCCTGGGCTCCTTCCCCAGAAAGAGGGCTTGAAAAAGGTAAGGAGGAGCTTTAGAAGGGGACAAAGGAAAGAGAAGCCTTTGTGTTCCCCAATATGTTGTAGGAAAGGTGCCATGACAGTTTTCCCTTGGAAGGCTTTATTCAGCCACAAGGAACCTTCGGGGTATGGAGAAGGAATAGTAGAGCCCAGTAGATTGAATTCTGGCTGGCAACCCCCTATACAAAATATGGGCTCCTGCTGTGTTGAACATGTACCCTGAAGCTGAGATATGGACTGCTGTTGTGTTGAGCATGTACCCTGAGGATGGGATATGGGCTCCTGTTGTGTTGCGCGTGTACCCCGAGGCTGGGATATGGGCCCCTGTTGTGTTGACCGTGTACCCTGAGGATGGGATATGGGCTCCTGTTGTGTTGCGCGTGTACCCCGAGGCTGAGATATGGGCTCCTGTTGTGTTGAGCATGTACCATGAGGCTGAGATATGGACTGCTGTTGTGTTGAGCGAGTACCATGAGGCTGGGATATGGGCTTCTGTTGTGTTGAGCGTGTACCCTGACGCTGGGATATGGGCTCCTGTTGTGTTGAGCGTGTACCCTGAGGCTGGGATATGGGCCCATGTTGTGTTGAGCGTGTACCCTGAGGCTGGGATATGGGCCCCTGTTGTGTTGAGCGTGTACCCTGAGGCTGGGATATGGGCCCATGTTGTGTTGACCGTGTACCCCGAGGCTGAGATATGGACTGCTGTTGTGTTGAGCATGTACCCTGATGCTGGGATATGGGCTCCTGTTGTGCTGAGCATGTACCCCGAGGCTGGGATATGGGCTCCTGTTGTGTTGAGCAATTACCCTGAGGATGGGATATGGGCTCCTGTTGTGTTGAGCGTGTACCCTGAGGCTGAGATATGGGCTTCTGTTGAGCGTGTACCCTGAGGCTGGGATATGGATTGCTGTTGTGTTGAGCATGCACCCTGAGGCTGGGATATGGGTTCCTGTTGTGTTAAGCATGCACCCTGAGGCTGGGATATGTGTTCCTGTTGTGTTGAGTGTGTACTCCGAGGCTGGGATATGGGCTCCTGTTTTGTTGAGCGTGAACCCTGAGGCTGGGATATGGGCTCCTGTTGTGTTGAGTGTGTACTCCGAGGCTGGGATATGGGCTCCTGTTTTGTTGAGCGTGAACCCCGAGGCTTGGATATGGGCTCCTGTTTTTATTGAGCGTGAACCCTGAGGCTGGGATATGGGCTCCTGTTGTGTTGAGCATGTACGCTGACTCTGGGATGTGTTATGATGTTCAGCGAAGCATTGGAAAAGCAAGTTCTCACTAAACGTTAGTTATTTGGAAAAAAAACTGGGAACTATGGTGCCTGATAGAGAAGGGGTTTAAACCTATGGTAAGGCCTTGGGCTTACTGTATCTGAACAATGACAAGATGGTGGACCCTTCCCTACAACTAGGAGAGTCAACAACCTAAATTGCCTTGTATTTCACAGGGTCGAAGTCCCTAGCGTGAGGAATTTCTAATGACCACCAGAGGACCTGCTAACAAATAGGGAGGGAGATCCAAATGGCCCATTTTCTGGAGTCAGCTGTGATGTGGCAGAGCCTAGGTCATGTAAGCACTGGATTTTTATTTAAGAGCAGAGCCCACCTTTCTACCCTTCCTCAGGTGCCCACCCAATACCCAGTACTCATACACATAGACTTCTGGAAGCACCAACCCTATACACCCAAAATGCCACCATACAGAAAATGTGTCACATTACTCACATCTCACAATGAGGACAATGATGGCTACAAACAAAAGAAGACACAACAGCAGACAGATGGGAAGAATCCACTTCCGGACACCTAGAACACAGAGATGCAGAAAACATAATTAGTTGGTGACATCACATATCTCAGAGGATTAAATGTTGTTTCTTATGGTAAGACATTCATTCATCCCCGAACATCCAAGCATGTAAGTCTGGATGTCATATCTATGTATGGCTTCCAATCCTTCTCTAGGTGACTTGGCAAAACACACCACAAAGATAAATCTTTCCCCATTTCTCTCCTAGCTCCTCCCAGGCCAGTCATAGGGGTGGAGAAGGCCAACCTCTGCGGAGTCACCTCATAGATCCTATGTGATTAGAGGTCTGAGCTCCCACTTTCTTCCTGCTCTGCACAATGTCCCCTAGAAAGGCTGTTCTTTCTTGATGTGGAAATCTTTTAAAAGCTGAAGATCAGTCAGATAAAAGAAAACTGCTGTCATGTCCGGTTATGGTTTTATCTAGAAATCATTACATTTAATTTTACAGCTGACTGAATACTGATCCCCCCTTCCTCATAATGCACAATCATCCTTCTTCCACCATGGGTGAAGACTCATCCTCCTTCCATCATGGTGTACAGTCATCACTTTTCCACCATATTACATACTTGTTTCTCTTCCTCAATTGGTAAACATTCATCTCCCTTCCACCATAACATATACTCATTTACATTCTACCATAATGTGCACTCAGCTCCCTTCCATGATGGGTGCTCACTCATCTCCCATCCACCATGAGTGTACAGTGCCCCTTCCACCTTAGATGTACACTCATCTCCCTTCCACCATAACATATACTCATTTACATTCCACCATAATGTGCACTCATCTCCCATCCACCATGAGTGTACACTGCCCCTTCCACCTTAGATGTACACTCATCTCCTTCTATAATAAACACTCATCTCCCTTCCACCATAGTGTACACTCATCTTCCTTACACCACAATTTATACTCCCCTTCATTCCACCATAATGTACACTCATCAACTTCCACCATGGGTGTACACTAATCTCCTTTCTACTATAATAAACACTCATCTGCCTTCCACCATGTATGTACTCTAATCTCCTTTCCACCACGTATGTACACTCATCTCCTTTCCACCATGTATGTACTCTAATCTCCTTTCCACCACGTATGTACACTCATCTCCTTTCCACCACGTATGTACACTCATCTCCTTTCCACCACGTATGTACTCTAATCTCCTTTCCACCATGTAAGTACACTCATCTCCTTTCCACCATGTATGTACACTCATCTCCTTTCCACCATGTATGTACTCTAATCTCCTTTCTACCATGTAAGTACACTCATCTCCTTTCCACCATGTATGTCCACTCATCTCCTTTCCACCATGTATGTCCACTCATCTCCTTTCCACCATGTATGTACACTCATCTCCTTTACCCACTCATCTCCTTTCCACCATGTATGTCCACTCATCTCCTTTCCACCATGTATGTACACTCATCTCCTTTCCACCATGTATGTACACTCATCTCCTTTCCAGCATGTATGTACACTCATCTCCTTTGGCTAGGTCAGTGTCACTCACTGGTAGCATGAGGCCATACCTGGACCCTACAGAGGTTCACAGGCAGTCCAACTCCTCCAAAATGGCCCATCAATATGTGCCATTGCCAGAGCAAGAGCATGGAGGAGACCTAAATCCAATAGAACCCCTCTGGGATGTCATGTTT